TACTATAGTAGCAAATATCATAATAATTGTCAAAAAAATCAGAAACGAACAAAATTCGCCCAGTGGCCCTGTGCAATCCGCGCGAGCTGTTCCCTCCGCCGGTCCAGCTCCTGAGGAAAACACCCCGCCCGGTCGGCTCACACGGGTGACTTCAGCGGTGCACGAGTCGGCAGGAGCAGCTCAGGCGAGTCGCAACCCAAAGCTTTCCAAGAAAAGTTGCAAATAGCAATTATCACCCTACAACTCACCCAAGCTGTGTGTGGCTGTGCAAGCTGGGCAGATGGCAGCTCTTCAGCATCGCGGCGACTCTTTTTCCTCCCCACCTTTTGATGTCTGCCTGCCTGGTGAAGCCATAGGATTCCCCAACTACGAATCCCATGCCCCAGTGGCGTGAAACATCAACCCCCCCCTGCCCCCCATCAGCAGCAGCCCAGTCTGCGGAACATGCACCAAGTCATCCCAAAAGTGGATGAACCTGCCATATGCGACCTCAGCAAGCACGTCTCAAAACGATCACTTTCTTGCACCACTTACCTGCAGGCTGCAAGCTCTTGAGATAGCCTATTCAAGGCTTATAGTCTACATACACATATATATATAATATACTATTCTGCATGCCCCGATCATGCTATCATACTTGTAAGTTATTGTTCTTGTGTTTGGGGCTATCTGAGCTTTGAAGCGGTCGGTTCTCCTTCTCAATACTGAACATCCCAAAAGGCAAATCCTCATCGGCAAGCAACAGCTTGTCTTGTCATTTGGGGACCGGGGCACCAAATACGACTGGCGCATCCCCAAGTTCGAGGACCAGTAAGGACTCCACCCTTTTTCAGCTATACAGAATGGTCCCGGTCCCGAAGTTGCAAACAAAATCAATGTGTCACTGAGATCAAGTTGGGAGTAGGAGTACCTGGCTTGTTTCCAGAATTGGAGGTCTTGGGACGTCCGACGCACGCTTTTGTGGCGGATTGCTGATTAGACATCCAGCATGAACTGACTATGATTCATTCATGCAGCATCGAGCACACCTGCCCCGCTCCAACGCAGCTCTTCCTTTTTGATGGTCTTGGGAACGTCCAGAATCTGTTCCCCCATTACACGTTCCCTCTACAAGTTCCAAAACCAAAGATGGGTCCCAAGGGATCAAACCATGAGAAAACAAAGAAAGACCAGCAATTCACCCCCTCCCAGCTCTTGCCTCGCCTCCGTCAGCTGCAGCTCGTCCATCATGGATGGATGGGGCGTCGATAGGCCACGGGCCGCGACAAGAGGTCCTTCCGAGCTTTGGATTTTGCTGGTCCACCTCCTATCCAACAAACATGCAAGTGTAACATGACCCCGATTTCGGAGGACTATTGTCCTATACTTACGATTCCAAGCCGGTTCCCACGGGACCATGATTGTTGGAGGGAGGGTAAGCCAGATTCATATTCCCCAGAAAAGGGTCACCCAGAGGACCAAAGGAAAAAAACAAAACCAGGCAAGGGCGTCGCCCACGTTGATGCTTTCGAGGCCCCCTTGCATTCCAGAAACGAGTTCAACATGAACCCTTTCAAAGAATCGGCTGCTGACGGTGCTTCTCTCTCCACATCCCCCTCCCTCCACACGCACGTAGCGCCGTAGCTCAAGTAACTCTTAAATTGGCTTTCCCTGTGGGTCCGTCGATCTCCCTCTCACCACGTCAATCGCACGTCTTCTCGCACGTCTCGCACGCGGCTCCTCTTCTGGCGAGCTGGCCATGGTGCTCGGTGTCTTCGCCGGCGTGGAAAGGCTGAGATTCAAGGAGGACACATGGCCGCCATAGCCTCAGATCTCTCAGACCCGAATGATCTGCCAAACCTGCCGAGATCTGCCAAAATCTTTTGGGTTAGTTATATACCCAGAGTATGGTGCTCACTTCGTGAAGAACAACTAGTACGTATAGCCAGCCTTTGCCGTGAACATGGAGTTGGGGATAATGATTTGTGAGCGTAGCCTCATGGCTGGCCACGAGTTAGCAGTCCTTGAATCAGCAGTCCTTGCCCTTGTTTAGCTTGCCGGTGGTGCTAATGTCAAAATTGTGCGTGTTCACAAAGAAAATAGCGTACAAATGCGTACAACATCCAAAACACCAACAACTTGGAGCATCTTCCAAGTCCACAGTGATTATTCTCGAACATGACCTTGGTTGCCTGAAGAGTCATTGTCCTCTTTATTTATAGCTGGCCCAGCTTGAAGGATTGCAATCCTTTGCCAAAGGCTGGAGTCTGGAGAATCCAAACAACACAGAGTTTGGACTACGGTCCAAGCTCCTTAATGTAGACGGTTGATAAATCAACCACGAAAAGGTTTTGCAATCCAAATGGGGGAGTCTATTTATCAAGAGTCGATGGTCGTTCTACCCTGCGAAGCCCTTTTCGCAAAGGAACTCTCGTTGTAGTCTCTGTGGAAAGTGGATTGCCATCCCGGCCGTCCACTGCAACCCACTCCAACAAAGTATTTAAACACTGGCACGTCTTGTCATTGAGACATTCCCAAGGAGGCTATCTTTACACCAATGAATCGACAGGCAATTGCTGGTATCCGCCTATTGGATGCGGGCACGTTTCGCTGACAAAACACCAAGAAAAACACCTCTCTTTGTCTCATCAATCAATGCTCTAACATGATCCGCCGCAAGGATAGTCCCACCGTTTCTCGAGTTCAACTCACCTCCTACACGCCTTTCAAGGGAGGGCATTCCAATGCTTGCTCGAAAAGACACATCCTCACCAACCAACCTGAAAAAGTCTGTGTCTTTAACATGTCTTGACTGGTTCACTCAGGAAGGGCGGCCCCAAATGCCTTCAAATTGAGCCCCAAATCTCGCCCTCCTGTTCCCCCCCATCCTTACAGTATTCGCCTCCGCGTGGCCGGGACTGCTGGGAAGTCCCTTCGACTTGGGTGCGAGGCTCTCCACCTTGCTCAACAGCTCCGCCAGCGCCACGCTGGTGGTGCCGCTCCGCGACGGGACGTCCGATTGAAAGGTCGAGTTGGCCGTACCCGACATCGGCACGGTCGGCATGGTGCGGAGCTCTCGCTCGGTGAGTTGGCGGTTCAAATACCTCGGTGAGGTTGGTGGAGGCCGTGAAAAACCAGAAACGTGTATGTGTATAGAATCTCGAGCCCATTTACCAGGCAGAAGGTTAAGGTTTGATCCGTGTTTTTTCAACTTTTTGGTTTCTAGAGAGAAGGCCTAGATGTTTTTGTGGAATTGGACGAAGGCTCAAACTTCAGGAGGCCTGAGGGAGTGATTTCTGACCTGCACTGAAGGAAAAAAATACTGGGAGAAACCGTTCACCATTAACATCTCATAACCCCTGCAACAGCCCCTAATGAACTCCTTCCGAGTACCTCAATGTGACTTCCTATCCCAGTCACAAAGGCCTTGAATCTCCAGAAATGGCCATGGAAATTCCATCCCTGTCTGCTGCTGTTGAAGGAAGAATCCTCAACGCATGGAAGAACACATCAGGTGCACGAACACATCGGCCCACGGTCCACTTGCTTCCCATTGTCGTCCCTTTGTCATCCTTCATCCACTGTTTATATAACTTGGATTGGCTGGTCCGGGAATCAGGGAGAAACAAGTAACTATATATACTTTGGGTCTATCCGTTCTTACCTGTAACAGTGGATGATGATGATGATGATGGTTCAGTTGCAGGCCTTGTTGTGCCTTGTTAACTGTGGCAGGCAATAGGACAGACCCTATATATACTCACCAAGCAAAAGATGTTCCCATAAACCTGGATTCATACTGGACCTTGGTCTCTAGACTCTAAAGATGACCCCACTCATCCTACTGTAGGTCCGTAGGTGGTTTTCACACAACCACCTGCAAAACCCAGTGGCTCGATGACTTCCTGGTTGGATTTGATGACATCATGTGCTTCGGCTAACTTCCTGAGAAACGCACCCACAAAGGGTTCAGGGCCTTCTTTTTTCATATATCTCATAGACTTGTCGGGCGCCACGGTGTCCGATAATTATATCGAAAACACCGAAAACTGGCTCTTCTATCTTCTTTAGAAGTGCACAGTAGCATTCAGCACTCAAGTTTTGCAACTCTAACCAGCTCAAGATCCTGCATAAGACCCTTTTCTACTCTCAACATGGCTGGCTTTGATAGCCCTCGACAACTAGGGTGGGATGTGCCCCTCCAGATCGGAATTCGGCACTCATGCCGAAGCCGTGCTTGTTCAATGTGCTCGTTTGCTTGTTTGTTGATCGCCAACATCAAACATCAGAACCTAAACAAGGAAAAACACTATGATAAAATTGTGCGCCACCCTCCAATAAACCTGTTGGCTACTGGCAACCTCGGGGCCCAAAAAAATGCAGGAGGGCACTTACATACGAGGACAAACTGCAACAAACATGGCACATCATGGCACTGATGTCGATAACAAGGAAGGAACATCCAGAGCAACAAAAAGACACAACACCAATCGCATTCGTCAATGGTCCTCTTCATCTCATCGATGTCCTCCTTCATCTTCTCTTCACGATGTTTGCCACGCAAAAGCTCCTGATCCTTCTCATCCAGCACTAACTTGGAGAGCTGCCCCTCCTTCTCCTAAGACATGGGGTAGCATTGCAGGTCTCCAAGTCGGAAGGTGATTTTGGATGTTTTCTAGAAGAGTCCTTCCTGAAAAGCAACTTTCCAAAAACAATATTTGTTATATAGACACATCCCTCCTTTTCATAGACACCCAGCCGAGAACTAACCCGGGATCTGGAAGAGAGCTGGTACGTTCGACGTAAATTCCGTGCAAATGGCAAGGGCCCACATCAGCAACAAAAGGAAACTCAGAAGAAGTCTGCCACCCTCCCTCCAACAATCATGGAAGTGGCAAATGCCCCTGTGGGAAGACAATGCTCCTTTACAAACCGGAGATTGTCCATTTCCATGTTTGGAGGAAGGATCACTAGCTGACTTGTGCTCTCACCCTGACTTGTGTGGTCATCCAAGTCGCTAGTTCCAAGCGTGCTTTCTCCAGATCGGTCAACTCGCTTTGTTTCTGCCGCAACTTCACCTAGCGACCAACACCCAACTCGACATGTTCCCATGCAGCGAACAACACCCAAC